TGTATTAATAATTACTCCACTAACTAAAATCCGGATAAGCGACAAATGGTCAAATATCCGTTTTAAGTAGCAAAATATTTTTTTTAAATACAGTTAAAATTAGTTAACGTGTTCGACTTAACGACGCAAAGCTGAAATATTATTAAACAATTTCAATATTCTAAAACTGGGTTATGGTTTTTCATGATATCTCAAAGGCAGTATACTTCATCCAACCATTTATTTTCCTTTTGACAGCTCGAATTCTAATCAATTAGTGCTGTCCTAAATAGTCCTAATGCTTTTAAAATCTTGACAGCAATCGATTTTATTTATCCGCTCACGCGATGCGCTCCTCCTACCGTAAAATAGCGGCAATTTGCTTTCGCAAATTACAAAAGGATTCAGTTGCTGAAACTGCCTCCGTGGCCGAACGGTTACCATGCCGGACTGCCACGCAGAGGTCCCAGGTTCGATTCCCGGGCCGGGAGAAATAGTTGTATGGCCTACAATTATTTCTCTCGTGAGTTTGGGTGTAATTTGTGGTTGTCTATGTGTGTGTCCATGGCACCCGCGACACAGGGTTTTCCCTAGTGCGGGGCTATGTTGAGTGTGTGCGTTAGTGTGTGCGTTTAAATGCAAGTTTTTATAAATAAAAATTATTATTCTGCATTGCTAAATAAATACCCTCCATACTACCAATAAAAACATCTCGAACAAAATGCAGTAATACACCGCAAATCCTGCACTTAAAAAGCACTAATGAAATTTTTGATGTACTTGGATAAATATGATAATATTCCGTTTGAGTGGTTCTAACGTTTACCATGAAATTACTCCTTAAAGTATAGTTTATAAACATTTATATTCAGGGTAAACTTAAAAAACGCTACTTACGGTATGTTTTCAATAAATAAACACCGACATCACCAGCCCAAACAATAACACACCCGATTGTCGTGACGTATTTTTAAAGTTGTTTATTTTTTTAAATGACAGACCCAGGCATTAAAAACTTTATGGTTTGCTAGAGTAGTTACCGAAATAGCAATTAATATTAGTTCTTTTACCTGTTATAACTTCGATATCCGATAAATCGGTATAAAATCATCACCGACACCTCTAGGTGTGGTATGAGTCTACGGCTGCATGCATCGCGTGAGCGGTTATGAAGAAGTATTAATCGTGAATGTGAGCGGGTTCCAAAAAGAAGATATTGTCTGATTGAGATCGTGATGATGCGTTTGACACTTTGTGTATTCAAGAATTAATAATTAATATTAATGAGTATTCAAATGATGATTCCCGTTCATATGGAGAAGAATCCGACGATTCATTATAATAAACTATAAGTCTTTTTAAGATTAAAAACAAGAGTCCAGAAAGTATTGCATTTTTTGATTAATGATGATTGGACTCAATATGGTGGAGTGATTTCACTAAAATAAATATAATGAGAGTTATACATCATGGTATTCAATAATCTCAGTACAGAGTACTAAAAAAACCGAGCTCAAAAGTACGTTGAATTACGTCTATTTACTAAATTTTATTGAAATATCCTTAAATTCGCCACTATACAGGACTTGCCACTGGAGATTACAAAAATCGGTTCTCACTACTCAAAGTATATGGAGAGAAAAACGCCTTGGATTGGAGAAACAGCAAAGTCAACCATTAAAATAATTGCTCCTTAGTAATATTTAGGCGCTATTTATAAAAATGAATCTTCATACGTGAATAGCCACCCTTAAAAGTGGATGATTTTCTTCAAAATGTAATGGGACCACTATGGACGTACCCCCTTTCCAACAAAAAAAGAATCATGAAACCGGAGTTCACAAATACCGGAGTTATCGCGTAACATACAAATAAAAAAAAGAAAAAAAAACAAAAAAAACATACAGTCGAATTGAGAACCTCCTCCTTTTTCGAAGATGGTTAATAAAATCAATATAGCTCTATAAAAGTATAGTACGATACACATACAATCTTCCAGGGGTGGGGAAACTGTCATCTCGCTCATTTTTTTCGGCTAATAAATGCATGCGCAGCAAATTGTGTTTCGGAACCCTAAAACGTAATTTTAGCGACTCGATAACTAATCAATTGACCAATGTTCATTTGTTATATACCTGTTAATCACTACTAATTGCAATATGCCGATATTATACGACACATAAACGACTGTTTGCTTATGTTTAACTTTTTTTCTATAATTATAATGGAAATTATAATATGCCAGGCAAGAGCACCATTCACCTGGTGTCTAACTAAGTATTTACCTGTGAAAGAGTTCGTCCAGGTAAGTACTGCCATCTTACCTATTTCTACCGCCAAGCAGTAATGTTAGCATTACTGCGTTCCGGTTTAGATGGGTAAGGGTGTTGGTGAAATTACAGGCACATTGGACTTGTCAACTTATGTCTCAGGGTGATGGGCGCAGTGGCAGTGCTCCTCAGATCTTTGCAATTTTGCGGATTGTGCCGTATGGACAGTTGTATACTACACTTTCAATAGCTGAGATTGTTACCAGTTCCTTCGACATATATTTGAAACAGTCCTTTTTGTTCGGACAAATCTAAACTGGTTTTCCTGTAAGAGTACCCTCTTTCATGCAAATATTTGTGCGATGGTGCCAAAATTGTACGGACAACGGCACATCAGACTATACATTTTTGTTCGAAAATCGCCTCAAGTGCAACGGAACAAGATACGTAAATCTGTAGCTTGATGTGCTGGCGTGTGTACAATAAGCTGTACACACAGTAGTTACAACAGTACACTAGGTAGGACAAGTCAATAGGTGCGTTGACGAAGGTGTTTATCCCGATTTAATGAAATACAGCAAGGTTATTTCCTTATTTATAGGAAAGTTGATCCTAGCAACTATATGCCCATTTCAATTTTACCAGCTTTAAGTAAAACATTCAAAAAGGTTATGCTAACTCAATTACTGTCCTATTTCGGTAGGAATAATATTTTTCATAGTGAACAATACTTGTTTACTAGTGGTACATCGACTAGCGATGCGGGGGTAGCGTTACTAAAACACATCTTTGATGCTTGGGAAAGGTCCCAGAACGCTATTGGTGTTTTCTGTGACCTCTCAAAGGCATTTGATTGCGTTGAACATATTACTCTTATTAGGAAGCTGGAACATTACGGTGTAAATGGCAAGGCGTCGAAACTTGTTTCCACATATCTCAATGGTAGAATTCAGAAAGTAGACATAAATGGAGTGACTTCTTTGGGTTCTCCGGTAAAAATGGGTCTTCCGCAGGGTTCAATACTTGGACCTTTCTTATTTCTGATGTATATTAATGGTCTGCCATTCTTTATTAAGGACCATTGCGAAATAGTGTTGTTTGCTGATGACACATCCTTAATTTTTAAAACAGACAGGCATGACATTAACTGTGACCATAATAATGATACCCTCTCTAAGGTAGTTTATTGATTTAATGCTAACAATTTATTGCTTAATGCCAAGAAGACAAAATGTGTTAAATTTGAATTACCTTACGTAAAATCGACTAGTCCAAGCATAGAAATAAACGGAGAAAAGTTAGACCTTGTTAATAAAGCAGTCTTCTTGGGAGTGACCTTATATAGTAAACTTCAATGGTTTCCACATATATCTTCCCTGGCCAGCAGATTAAGCTCCGCTGCGTACGCAGTCCGCAGAATACGTGAGCTTACCGATGTTAGTACTGCTAGACTAGTTACTTTAGTTACTTCTTTAGTATAATGTCCTACGGGATTCTCATGTGGGGTAAAGCGGCAGACATTCAAACCATATTTGTATTGTCAAAAACGAGCGATTCGTTCTGTGTACCGTCTAGGCTCTCGGGTTTCTCTCAGAGAAAAGTTTAAGGAGACTGGTATCATGACTGTGGCATCACAGTACATTTACTCAAATATTTTATATGCCCGTAAAAATATACATAATTTCAATAAGAAAGAAGATGTCCGTAATATTATTCTTCTAAGGTGTACTTAGCTCTAGCTAAGTCTATACACATGGTACCACGAGTTCGCTTAACAAAGGTAAACAACTCTTTTATGGGGAACTGTATACGTTTTTACAATAAGAGTCCGGAGCATATATTAAGTTTATCATTTCCTAAGTTTAAAAACTACATTAAAAATATTTTGATCGATAAATCATATTACAAAATTGAAGACTACGTGTTAGATAAAGATGTACTGAAAGACGACACGGCTCCAGAATCCACAAAAATTTGATTCAAAGTGTATTCCATAGCATTTAAGTTTATTTGAAAAGAGCAATCCCTAGAGTTTTTTGCTCGTTCTTCTCAGGGAGGTCAGCGTAGTGCACGAGCAGTAGCTTAAATGTGACGTTTTCAAGTGTAAATTTATTTTACCTGTGGAATAAATAATCTTTGACTTTGACTTTGTCACATTCTTGATACAAATGACATTATCAATTTTAAAAAGTGTGTTTTTAATTTATTGACCAGGAAAGCATATTACAAAGTCAGCGATTATTTAAAAGTACAATAACGTAGAATATTATATGTATAATTAACTACGACGAAATCATGACATGTACGATATTATTAAGATTTGACATTTTGTAATTAAAACTATACTGTTAAATTAATTTCATTAAGCAAATTGCATGCCATAAAATTGGCAGTGCGTACTAACACAACAATGTTATATAAGACCTTATAGATGTACGTACACAACAAATGAGTTAATTTGATTTGCTTGATTTATACATATTTCTGCCACCAAGCCGGAATGTGGGAATTTGGGACTTGTCAATTTTGCGACTTAAGTGACGGGTACCCACGGAAGTAGTATCCGTAGTAACCACGGAAGAAATTATGTGGTCTATGGTAGGACCCTTTACGATTAAAAGCTCTTAATGAAAATGCAGCTATTAGGGATAGGCATGTCGCATACCACCAGGCTGACGACTTGGTCATCTCGTCATTTGAAATCCTTTGAGTTTCATCTCCATCAGTTAAATATGTTATAATTGTTGCCAGAATGCGGTGTACCCCTTCGGAGACACACGCGGCAGCCACGAGAAAGGAACGCTGGACAGCTCCGCATCATCAAGGGCCGAGAATCCAAACGAGGAGCTTGGCCATGGCAGGTAAAACTAATTTTCCTAAAACCCAAGACCAACCTAAACATGAAACTATAAAAGGTATAAATAATGTGAATGAAATGTGACAGCGAGGTTTATTGTATTCGTCAATTGCAAATAAGGTTTTGTGGGACTGTGTTATAGGCTTAACCTACCAACCTTCCCTATCAGCCTTCTTGGTTATACGGGCCAAAACAAAGTACAAATATTTTTCTAACTCCTGTATCCCTAATACAACCTCTCTCTTCTGGGGCGTACACGATACAGTTACGCCTTCGGTGTCCGCCGAAAGGTCGCAAAGATCTCCGACAATTGTGCCATTTCCACGCGAAATCCCGTAGCCGCCTGAAGTTCTCTTTGGATGACAAAAATCCGTGGTATTCACCCGTTTAGCTCTTGCAGGTAGTCTAGATCTAAGATGTTTAAATTAAATATTGTAATTATAAATGTATTCAAATGTATATTTACAAAGTACAACCCCTAGAATTTCTTGCTCATTATACTCAAAAGAATCTGCCTTACGAATGAGCTGTAGAGTTTAATCAGTACGACGATTTCAAGTGTAATTTGCTTACCTATGAAATAAGTAATCTTTATTATTTGATAACTATCCGGACTCCGGAGAACAAGAATAAAAAGCCTTTAAAATCATGGAAGCAGTGGAGAGGTGCTTGATAAAGAAAGGAAAGAACATTGACGAGCTTGCCATTGAGCAGAGTAGAATGGACAGGAAGGAACATTAAATAATTTTGACATTGTTCTACACGATTCCAGGTGTCATTGCAGCTTCTGCATCCTAGCTATGGTCTGATAGGACATTGGTGCGGTGGCGTGCTCGTGCATCCAATGTGGCTTCTCACCACCGCACACTGCATCCATAAGTTAGTAAACATCATTTATTTATATCATTTAGTTGTATATAATCTTTTTTTTTATTCTTCTTTCTTTTTTATTTATGTAATGATTGATTTTTAACATTGACGTAATTTTTAACATTTTCGTATATTTTTCATATTATTTTGATTATTTCATAATATTATTCATTTATAATTCATCCGGTAATTCCTTTACTCAGCTATGAATAATTACATAATTTTTTTTGTGTACAATTATAAGTGTATAACATTCGTAAAAAATTATACTGATGCTGACAACCATGACAACCATGCGAATAAAAAATACATGGCCTGCGAATGCAGTGCAACTATAGATGTTATTCTTACAGGATTCGTTTTGTTCGAAATACTAAATTATATCCATACAATTTGTCGTTTAAATTTCAGTGAACTCTTCAACCTGCCAGTACCAGCTCTCTGGACGGCAGTGCTCGGAGAGTGGGATCGAGCAGAGCAAAAAGGATCCTATGTGCCCATTGAGAGAATTGTGCTGCATCATCGATTTCACAACTACCAGCATGACATAGGTTCGTAAATTCTTTGTCCTAGAACCAATACCTTTTCTGAAAAGGTAGTTGAAACCTCCCTGGTATTTTGGGATACAAATGTTACTATAAAATTCTGCTTTGAAATACAAGTCTGAGATGATTTAATTTTGTGACGATTTACTGCAGAAAATTTCGGTCAGTTTCAATGTCGAAAAACTAAAACAATCACGTGCTACCGATTGGCTTCCTGACATTATATTTCTTTTTTAACCCTATAGATTACATTAGAAAGTTCATAATAAAATCAAATTCGTGTTAAGGATAAACTTTTAATATCGATTTTGAGATTAACGTTTGCTCTATATAATAGGTATACCTATGGAATTATTCTGTTATTTCAGCCCTCATGAAGCTAACGAAACCAGCAGACGTTAGCGCAGGAAGCAGAATTAGGACTATCTGTCTACCCCCCTTCGAGCCCCCGGTTACCAACTTCAACACTGAAAAGTCATCCACCTTCTACATGAGACCAGAAACAAGACCGGAGCTCAGTCTAGAACCAAAACGAAAAGCTGTTAAGCCGCCTAAACCAAACCCAGATACCGCTATGAAATATTTGGAAACGCTTAGCAATTTGACAAAAACTATTTTCTCAGGTTTTTTTAACAAGAAACATAAAAACATGAGATACAACGTAAGAGTAGCCAACGACTCACATAAATTAACAGAACGAAAGACAGACGATATACAAAGAACAGAAGCGGATAAGAAAAACTTAGAAATAGTTTACGATAGTGCCACTTTAGATAGCGTTGTTAAACTTATAAAAACTAAAATAGGTAAAGACAGACGTCGAGTGAGTAATAATGATAGGAGTGACAAGAAACTTATGTTTGGTGAAGAGATTGATCCTTTTATAGATGGAAATAATAGAATAGACTTTAGAGATGAGTGTTATGCGACCGGTTGGGGGAGAGAGCAGACGAATGGGACTCTGACTGATGTTTTGTTGGAGGCTGAAGTTCCGGTGCTGCCTTTACAACTGTGCAGAGATAGATATTCGTTGACGCTACCGCTAAACGAAGGCCATTTGTGTGCTGGCAGTACGGATGGAAGCACAGGAGCGTGTGTGGTAAGTTTGTTACCATCATAAATTGCAAAAACTTTAGCGTCAATGAAAAAGTCATAACGCAAAAAGAGGCAATTACAGTTGTCACATAAACCGTTTAAGTGCATTCTTAGACCTTCGACCTGAAACTGATGTAAGGAAGTCGTTGAAAACTAGTATAAAAATGTGTCATTGGACTAGCTATTCAGGTCTGAGTTTTTTTTATACAAACTGGCTTTTAGAATGCAACCGTGTCTTATTCCTGAGAACACGATAATATTCAGTTATTTTGTAACTAACACGTGTTATGTTCATTATTTATAATTTTAATACATCTGTATAGTGATATGTATAAAAAATGGTTTAAATACATGAGCCATTGTTTTAAACAACGAAAGCGTCGATTGAACTTTCCAAATTAGGAATTAAAAACAAAACAAAGTCACCGACAATTAGTCGGTATGCATTTGAAATTAACTAATCAACATACCAAAACTTATCTTCGATCTTGAACGTCTGATTTTAGATAGCCAAGGCATAAATTTGATGGAGCAATTTAAGTTGTCTTGTTCCAATTCCGATTTGCGATTGCAATATTGATAAACTTTTGTGAGTCACGTGAGAGGAGATGTTATTTGATTGTTATTTTTTTAATGGCAGTCACTATCCCTTTCTTATTATATAATTTTATTATTTACACATTCACATATCCTATTAAAAAGATTTTGTTATTAAATTATAGTCTTACATTGCAATGAGAACCTAGTTTAGCTACATCTTCAACTGTCGGAACATTATCATTGGTTTTTGTATCATTGATACTATAACTACGTAATTTCGAACTATTTTTGCTATCACAAAGTCACTCATAATTGATAATAGCATCAACTGATTTATTATCACTGACACCTAACCATTGATTTGACAGATGCGCTCCAATGCCATACATAAAGTCGTTAATGTTGTCAATCCATACTCTTCGGATAATTAAACTAATACTTTGGACTCACTGAAGTCAGTCTATTTTTTGTTCACAGGGGGACAGCGGTGGTCCTCTACAGTGCCGTTCGAGCGGTAGATGGCTTCTCAAAGGCCTCACCTCATTTGGCTCAGGATGCGCCAGAAGAGGCGTCCCTGATGTGTATACCAACGTAGCTCACTACGTGTCATGGATTTACGCTCACGTTTACGCTAGCTAGTGAAAACCCTAATGAAGTTAGAAATGAACTGAACATTTAGAAAGGAGTGTGTGATATTTTAAACGTCAAGTAAATAACTTATAAAACTGTAGTACTGTGCCTTACGTCGAAAATATGATACGCAAGCATTGACTTACAAATAAATGGACGACGGGTCTAATACAAAAACCACGAAAAAAATGTCCCAAGTCAACCTATTCGAAATTTAAATTGTAATGTCATCGCAGTATCGCGCTGTCAGTCGAACAAATGAAGACTAAAGCGGAGTTTGGCGCTCTGTATACGATTTTAGCGCCTTACAAGTGCGGACACTTTTTAGCGCGGACCCGACGTCCATATAATTGTAAGTCAATGTACGCAAGTAAAGAAATTCAAAGTCGATTAACACCATCGTCTTCATTGACATCATAAAATATACTGCATAAGTGTTATTCGATATTGGCAAATGTTAGATTAGTAAAATATCATAACTTATCAAACGCTTTAGGAGATTCATCATCAACACCATCATCAACCTGTCAAACGTCCCACCGGGCAGGAGAGGGTTTAGGCTATAGTCCGCCACGAAGGCGAAATTGGGGATTTTACACGACATGCAGGTTTCATTGCGATGTTTTCTTTTACCGTTAGCCAGAGATATAAAGTTACTAAACATCCACAAACGTACTTAAATTTAAAACTAAAGCAATAGGCACAATTGTCGACCTATCCTTTGATTACCAACCGGTGTCCCTCAGAGCTACTACTATTCATAGCTACTAGTGTCTATTTAATTATTACTATTTCATGTTTTTAAATTGACCTCAATAGACAGAAAAATAAGCATACTTCTAAGCACTGGAGTACCTCAAGGAAACAAACTGATGTCTTTTAGAAAATATCGTAGCTTAAAAGCTTTCAGTTCCACAGAACTATCTAACTTTGAATGGTGTTTTAAACTGACCGGCATTAAAGAGATGAAACGTCTTAGTTTTGCTTTGGGCGTACCTCCAGGCATGGTCTCTAGTTTCACAGTTTCGACTAACTTTTGTTAACATCGTACATAAGAAGACGTACCTTAAGAAGGATACAGTAAACTTCAAAGATTAATTATACCTTCATTGACACTTGTACTGAAGATATATTGTAAATATGATTTTGTACCTAATGTTTGATTACCAACTGTAAATAAATACTACTTCTAGTCTTTAATGTACAGTATACTTAATATCACTTAAGTTACCTGCCTAAGTTTAAGTTTGTAGTTATTTATTAATACAATCTACAATTAAAAACGTGTCAAAGTTAAAGCTTTTCTGTGTTTTTACTAAAGTGTTTTTTAATATATTTGTTTGTTTGTTTTTCGTTGATTTTGTGTACTGGAATCTCTTCAATCTCAATACTGTTAAGATTTTTAACCCAAAAAGGCCACTCAAAATAACTGTGATTACTTTTAAATTATTCTTAATTTTAAATATTATTTTAAGTACCATATTTCATAGTAAATTTTGATTATGCAATTGAACATATAAAGGATAAATACATAATGTAATTTTTTTTTAGTCCAGTGCCTTAACTTGAATTGTCTTAAAGCTAGAGAAGAAGAAATGAGAATAGTTGACTCAGTACCTGCTCTAGTATTCTTGCTGGAGATGGGATAGGGCAAGTGTGTCGGCACACGAGGTGACCCACACCAGTGCTCGACCCATACCTCAAGGGATGAGTGTCATACCGTCCGGGCCATTAGCTCGCAACATGCTGCTTGACTCGAGTATAACGGGCACGTAAACCGTGGCTGAGGCCTGAAGGATGATGTCGGTGAGGGCTGCATGGCGCTCAGCTTCTTAATTTTAAGGGTTCCTAGCCTATCGGAGGCTGGACAACATCATAATAATCCTGACTTAAGAGGCTGCCGCTTTGAGAACAACGTGTTTCTCCAGCCGAGCCATTCCATCAAATTCTTTAAACAAGAATACCGCTTTCTTCCGACATTTCGTTTCCCTGTGATTTTATCTTGGATAATAAGCTGGAGTAATTATTGTTCCTCATGAAGTAATTACTTGAAGATTTAATCAACATATTGGTGAAACAAAATTACGATTTGTAATTTGTATATATAATGTTTAGGAATGAAACTATTTTTCCGGATTTAAATCGCGTATATTTGTTTTTTCAAACAAACCTTTGTTTGTTTGTTTGAAAAAACAAATATACGCGATTTAAATCCGGAAAAATAGTTTCATTCCTATGTGTAACAATCGCGAAAACCTAAGAACTCGATATATATAATGTTTGTTTTCATTATCGATCGCAAGGTATAGTCGGGGATTACGAACGTAAATTTGTTGACAAATTAAAATGGAGGATTTAGGAATAAGTCTACATTTGGAATCGCAAACAAGCTACAAGCTACGACATTATTGTCATTGTCATCAGTCATTTGTTCATCATTGTCAGTCATTGTCACGCATCTAATTTTTATTATGATATCAAAATGATGACACGAACAAGTCGTGTGTCTGGTGGCAAGCGACACGCCTGCCCATAGCAGTTGCAAAGCTACTCAGATCTTTAAATCGCAAAGATCTGAGGTGCACTGCCACTGCGCCCGTCACCCTGAGACGAAATTTGACAAATCCCATGTGCCTGTAATTTGACCAAAACCGGAACATAGCAATGCTCACATTAAAGGTGGCAGTACTTCCCTGGACGAACTCTGTCACAAGTAGCTCGTCCAAGACTAAGGATATACTGTATTACTAAAGCAATCAATGTCGACTTATGTTATTAGTTATGTCGTGACGACAGATAGTCGTGCAGTTTAAATTGTCGTTGCTTGTGTATACATTTAAATGAAGTTTACATATAGCTACAACACAATTAACTGTAATTCATGAGTTTTTTGACGTTACAACGACAGACTGTTAAGACGATGGGAAGAGCTAGAACGACAGTTGTCCAGCGGTAAATTAAACGTTACGATAAATATGTGACGACAGTTAATCGCAGCTACTATTGTCGTCATGTTTTATTTATCGTTGTCTCATATCTGCAAGCGATAAGGCGGCTGCCGTGAAACGATAAATTGTCGTCACGATCCAGTGGGAACAGCTAGGCATGACTGTCTTTCAACGATAAAAAAGTCCACAACACAGTCACTACAGATAATCGTGACATGGGAACAGGCTAGATAAATAAAACTTTACGACATAATGGGAACGCGCCCTAAGGCGAGTTACCGGAGGAGAAGCGAGAAAAACAGTTTTGCTAGATCAAATATTCTAGGTATTTATTATTAAATAGGGATCTTACAAAAAATATACGATATACCTTATGATACTATCTGAAGAATGTGCAATGGTATGTAACGGTGTGTAATTCATTACACGATAGGATGTACTTTGTCCAATCATAAAATCCCAAGAACAGGCTAAAATAATGCTTGTAACGGGGTCCAGAAGGACGAGGCAAAGGCTCGTTTCGTCAGCGAAATAAAAACACGCGCTTAATATACAAGTAAGCGGAATTTTATTGATGATAGTTTTGTAAGTCAATGATGATAGTACATAAAAGGGGTAACGGGAAGTCCGGCAGGTTCCGTACACAGCCTCTACGCAGTAAATATCTAATGTGGTCCAGAGTGAGCAGTACACACATTGAATTCCGAATCAACAATACTTTTCTTTTTGAAGGACACTTTGCAGTTGGCCGCTGATGCCCTTCACTGCGCCACCGGATGAAAAGGGCGAGCTGAAGGCTCATAGGCCGTAAAATAAATTACAGACTACACTTAAAACTAAGTAGCGGGCCTAAGGGCGCCCAAGTGGGCACGGACCTCGGCTCAGGGCGCTACTGAAGACTTCCGCTGGAAGGGCGTGCTATAGGAGAGAAGTTATCAATACATACTTTGCTTAACTACTTATAGTGCCGAGGGAAAATTTTAACACCGCGTTTCAGAAATAGCTTCAAAGTGATCAATGCCATCTACTACTCGTAATCTAACTTAGCACATAATTTTTACATGGTGATATTCCTCGTACTACAGAGTACCTACTTAAATTTTGGTTTTCAACTGAAGTTCTATAGTCATTAAATTGCACATTTATTCCAATATTTCCCAGTGGGTTAAAGACGCGCCGCACCGTTCGCTGGCCCGTTATTCGCCATCGGGCGCTTGTCAACTTCGGATCTGTGGCAAATTTGGTCCACCAGTTCTCATTTTATGAACCTTAAGCGGATTGCGAGACACAAAGGGCTGCCCCCCGCTCCTCACCTCCTAAAATCTACGCTCGCGTCAAATATAATAATACCAGACGTCACAGAGGGCATTCTTAAGAAAACAAAAGTACTTAAAAGGCATAAACATTTATTTCACAAACATACCCCTCAGTCTGTACAATATTTACAAAAAATATATCCTAACAGTATAATAGTTAATGGTTGCTCTTAAAATAATATCACATTTGTTTGATTTTTCAATAGCAAAAATTTTATTCAAAATTCGTAAATTAAGTTGCTATTGCGAATTTAAACTTAGTATTTAATACTGTCTTTGAAAAAATCCAAGTGCGCTCGCCTTAGTCGAATTTTTAATTAGAGATAACAAACCGATAGCTACTAATATCGCTTTGAAAAATAATATAGTCCCGTCTAACGCTGCCTTTCCACCAGAGATGTGCGAGGTAGCGAGGTAGTGCGAGATAGCGAGGTAGTGCGAGATAGCGAGGTAGTGCGAGGATGCGATATGGACTCTTTTCAGCAAGCGCGGGTGGGTTTCGTTGTGTTGGGGAGAGCGGTGGCGATAAGTCAGTGTCAGTTAGTGTTATACTTTCAGTAGCTCTAGTTTCCTACACCGTTTTGCACACATTCCTCGCCCGCACTCCTTGCACACATTCCCCGCTCAAATACTTAGCTCCGTAACTCTTTTCCACCGTAGCTACGCTAAGCGAGGTTAGTAAAATAAAGTAATTCTATTGGTGGATTTTTCCTCGCACACCGCCTCGCTACGTCGCACATCTTTAGTGGAAAGGCAGCCTAATTGGGTAATTATGCGTTTGGTTCATTCAGTTCTTAGCAAACTCACTGAAACTGAATTATATCAAAACGAAACGTTAAAAGACTTTTGACTAATAATCTGCTAAACAACATCTTTAATTTTTCTGTAATCAAATTGTGGATGTTCAAAATGAATACTTCTTTTTTATCGACTTCAAAAAAGGAGGAGGTTCTCAAATCGTCTGTATTATTTTTGTATGTATGTTCAGCGATAACCGATTTGTGCATTGATTTTGATGTTTCTATTTTTAGTTGGAAAGAGGATATCTCGGTACTTGTCCCATTTAAACTTGAAGAAAATACACCCCTGAAGGTGGCAAACTAGGAGGTGAATCAGGTTTCGAGCAATTTCCGGTAACCGATTTCAATAAAACTTGGCAAACTGTTATTCCAGGAACTGAACTGAGATTATATAATACTAAATGACGGGACGAACAAGTCGTGCACCTGGTGGTAAATGACACGCCTATTTGTAACAGTTGCAGCGCCCACTCAGAGCTTTAAATCGCAAAGATCTTAGGGGCACCGCCACTGTGCCCGTCACCTTGAGACATAAGTTGACAAGTCCATATGCCTGTAATTTCACCTACAATTATTAGAAAGGTGTAATTTGTTCCCGTATACACATTATAAAGCTGCATGATCGCACGTCATAAGTGCTTTTATCACATGAAAAGCGTAAAAAGAACATGAACTACATTAAACAAATTATTAGACGGGAAATTTTATAATTAATTTGTAGTATCTCTAAACCTCTCTCATTGAAAAGTTGTCATTTTTCAGATGCAGTCTTATTACACCAAGGATGCGAATTTGCCTTAATTACCTAGTGCACGTATAGGTGAAATCGTCCCTTAAACACAACAAAATATCAATCTTATCAAAAACTAACTCCCTGACCAGTATCTCTAATTAAAAATGCAATTACAACTCACATAATACACTGAACTGACTCATAAAAGTAGGTATTACCAGATTTGGATTTGGTTTCACGTGACCAAATTTATAGGCGACCTATAATGTTAAAAATATAAAACAATCTCCTTAAATAATCGTCTGTGAACGTTCAACATTGTGAAACATCATGTGAACGTAAGAATTTTACTTTTAACCTACAATTAATATAAAAATTACTAAAACAATGTTAACGCTAGTTAAAAATAACACCAGTAACTTACATATTCAACTACAATTTTGAACTGCAAGAGAGGAATGTTATAGAATTAAACTATGAAATAAATAAAAATATCCTAAATTAAAAGTAATCGTAACAATAACACTTTGAGCAAATATTCTTTCTATTTACTAACTATGGCATCTGTCAGGCAAGTAAAGATTGCTTCAGGCGCATTTATAGTCGGATTTTTATTAAGATTTACAGAGATAACAGACTGACTCTCAATAATTTGATTGGTGAGTTCAAAAAATCATAAATTTGATAACAGAAAAATGATAGGCGTATGTAAAGATTAAATGTAAATCAAATATTGTTTAGTAGACTATTAATACAAAAATCTTTAAGGTTTCTTTTGAGTGATTCGGTTCCAGTGATTTATTCAGAACTGAACTAAACAAGTCACTGTACAATAGACATGGCCACATTATTTCTGCACTTGACATTACTACCAGTCAATCTGTTATATTTAATTAAAAATTGTACTATATATTATACAAGTAAGTTGCAACGTCATGCGCAAGTTTTTTACAATTTAATCGACGTATTTTTCCACTGAAAGTGCGTATCTGTATGGTATAGCAGAAGCCATAATTTTTATGGCATATGCTCTTATTAATTGTCATAAAAAAAACTTAAAATTAGGCTTTATAGAACATTCCACTTCTGTATTTTACTTCTTAAGCTATTGAAGAGCTAGTAAATAAACTTTATTAAATTCGATCGTATGCCACCAATGTTCAAGTGTATCATTGTGATTTTGGAAGTTAGTGATTTTTTTAAATTACCTGGTTCATTAAACGTGTCTATTGCAAATCAGTTTTCATTATTTTAAATACCTTAAGACATTGTCTACACACAATTTATTCTGTTTTTTATAATATCAAGTTGGAAGACCGTTTAAACAGAAATATCAGAAAATTTTCAATAATCGTTGTCCCCATTTGTAAATCATTGAACAATTTCTAACTACCCGTTACTATCTAATTAATAATACCTTCTATATATTCTATAATGCCTTTACAATAGAAATTATATGCACCACGACCGAAACTTAGTCATATTATCATGAAAATGATGTAAACAATGGTAACCAACTAACCTCTCATATTACATTGAAGATTTCTCCACAAGAGATTATAAATGTAAGCTTTTACATTACATTTTCAGTATTTCTATGTAATAGGCCGCTAATACTGAAAAATTACGTAAATGCACTTTATACGATTCTCTAGGCACTAATGACATTACCTACAATTTTCAACTGATAATGATGTTATTTCTCTTTCACTCAAATAATTTTTACTTAAAACGCTTAGAAAGTAAATGTCGCAAACAAATTTTATTTAAAACCAAAAACATATTTAGTCATTGCAGTCTAAACGTTTCACGAGTCACTATTTAGCAAATCAGTCATATCCATGTCTTCTTCTGTAATAGCTAATAAAGAAACAGCTTGTTTAGCTAGTTCATCGTCGTCGTTAAAGGCGATATTGTCTACCATGTTTAAGATGATGCTCGATCCCCTTTCAACACTTTTCTTCCTTTTAGGCCTAATTTCTTCATCCTTTGATTGGATTAACTTGTATTTGGGTTTAAGGATTCTAAGAGTACCTTGGACACCAAGAATGAGGCCGACAATAAAGAGAAGGACTTCGAAAGTGATTAGCAGAGGCGGAGCAATGACGAATCGTAGACGGAGAATGTTCACAATCATTGCTGGTGGTTCGGTGCAATACTGTAACAAGGTGTTAGTTGAATCAGTTGATCAAACAACAAAAGGAGAAAGAATTAAGGGTCGTATTCTAGAACTCTACTCAATGCTCAAGTCAGGATTTGAGTATGGTTTAAAGCACTCGAAATCATAGTCAAGTCACTGCCATTACGGTCGTATTTTCAGTGCTTGAAATCATACACAGATCCTGACTTGAGCATTGAGTAGAGTTCTGGAATACGACCCTGAGACTCGTTTTACAGTATCATCAAATCTTAACAAATCATAACTAAAAAAGATAAAGAAGAATTTCAAAGATAATTCTAGAATAAAAGCTGGTTATAGTTAAATTTTGAAAGATAATTACCAATTGAAGCCACGCAATAGGGACTAGTTTGTCTTTTAATGGCCTAACGATAGGGTTCCCGGGATTCATTCTCACTGCAATGTTCACCTGGATCGTAGTTGACACCGTTAGAGGTATTCCAAGGGTCTGGAATATTAATATAAGTGTTATGAGTATACCGTATTTTGTTACTGTAAAGGAAGTAAACACAGATCACAATAGTTTTTTTGCCGTTATTACTTAAAATCAAAATATTGTCAATTCTGCACTTAAGATTGAATCCTTCTTAGAGAATTTAGTAGCGCTGCCAGGGCTCCATCACTCGCTCGAGGTTAAGCGATAAATGCCTCCCGCTGAGTGTATCGCCGTTGTCAGACAAGTGTTTCATTTACATTACAATCCTTGTACAACCCCAGCATTCGGTTTCCCATTACTGACTGCACAGCGCGGGCAACTTTATTTTCACCTCTCTGAAAGCGTGCTTAGGTTCCTTTTTCCTCATAGAGAGCCCCGAGTTTCGTTGGTCAGATTAGTAGGCTATTATAGCGTAAATATTTTGGATTTTGTATAAGAGTGATATATCTGTTATGTAGTAACTATTAAGTAATCTATGGCATTGTAGAAAACATCTCTCACCAAAATGTTGGCCATACCGATTTAATTTATTAATAAGATTTTTTTAAACTAACATGTGATTGGTCTTAAAGCAGATATCATTCCGTTGGAATATATGTATAGGTGGTCCTAACAACACGGATGCAAAAATATGCTAAATTTAGGTCTGCCTTCCATTCCAATTCCAAAGCAATTACCATAGTAAAATAAACTAACCGGTTCCAATTCTGCAATTGTGCCGTGTTTCTCAGGGTCTGGATGCATTCCCTCAAAAGAATCCATCGCAGCTGGATCGGTGTCCATGAAGTGAGGTTTTGACAACGCGATGGGGAAACCTATAACAAATTAATTGAAATTATAAAAAAATTTAATATGAAGCATTTATTAATTACTTACTAATGTCCTGTTACCACAAAGTGGAAGACCAACCAACTCTCTAACTACTAACCGTAATAACAATTGCTGACGTCAACAAACCCATTGGGCAAGCAATTTTTACTGCACTTGCAGGCGTATTCGTTAGTGTTGTTGAAAGCGCTCTGCTCCAGGGCATATCTAAAAAAATAAACATAAGATAATGTCGTGACAATCGCATTGTTAAGAAAGAAAGAGAGCGTATTCGTAAAAAAGATTTCAATTACAGTACCAGCCCAATAAGATATTAGGTATTTTACAGGGTTATTCCCATCTGCTCCCCTAAAACCCTGGCGGATCCGTTTTATTTTACATTATTTTCTATTCCCACCGGATCCTCTATGCTTGGGATCAAGAATAAATATTAATATTTTATCCACACTTGGTACCCTGGTACTTACAGACTTATTTTTGGTCAGTACTATGGTACAGTCAACAAGAAATATTTGAGAGATGTATTGTATTTTATTTAGTTTATAGAAATTAACAACATTAACAGTACGTTAACGGTCAATGTTTTTAACCCTTTGTAATTTTCTTATAAAAATACCAAAAAAACAACTTGAGCAAAACATTCAAAAGTCCAAAGAGAAACTTATATTTTGAATATTACTTAAGAGTGAGTTTTTGTTACTTGTGATTTGCAATATGTTAGTATTAATGACATGTCACAAAAAAACAATTATTGTCTGTGATAAATTATAACATTTCATCACAATTGCTCAATGACTGAATATTTTTTTTTATTTTAAAACTTCTTTTTGTCTTGATTATACTTCCTTTACAAATCAATGAGGGGATCTGTTGGGAATTGCTAAATAAAAAGTGGATCAGCTTGGATTGAAAATTGACGGTGGATCAGTTGTAGGGGATCAGATGAGAATAACTATTTAAACATGTTTTTGCTGAAGCAACACCAAGGTTTTGTTTTCATAAGGAAAATTTAAGTTATAATAACTTTGATGGATGTTAAGAAAAGAACGTAACGAAGTCTGAATGTAAACTAATGTTTTTTTCACACATGAACTTTTGTAGCATGCTTGATACGCATTTGCAAGATAAAGTGGTCCAGTGACATGGAAAGTTTTTGATAAGAAATTGGGAATGGTTAACTAAACCGTTTTTTATCTACACTTAAGTAGACTGTTAAGCCTGAATTATATATTAAGTGACATAATTGCGTAAATATTTTACAAACTATTATTGTTGCGAAATTCCAATTATAATTTGAAATTCAAAATTTTCTTTGAGTAATCTTACATGTAGGTAGGAAATCCGAATTTTCCTTTTAACTCCTTTTCAAAAACGAATGGGTAGATCCTGCAGGCCTGTCGTTTGAAGATAGGTAGGACAGTATCCTTGGACATGTGAGGGGACACCAACAGACCTTCATATGTGCCTTTGATGCGGTTGCAAGGTATGCTGAAAACAAACAACAAAAGAACAGTCAAATTTGCAATCATCGCAATCAAACAAAGTAAACTTTAGCAATGGACAAATTAACGACTCAGCGACTGACATAGATGTACACTCTATTCAATATTACACAAGGCGTTCAAAGTTTAGACTACTAAATAAGTAAATTCAAGACAAAAACGTTTCCTGAATGGCTTTTGAAACTTGGGGTACTGAACTATGACCGTTTTCGGGGGAGTTGTAGTGTGTCGGACCAACGTGACCTCTTTAGTAGGTCGCTGAATCCAGCGACCTACTAAAGAGCATATCGACGGAAATGTTGAGTAGGCATAAGATTCTTTATACTGTAATAGAATTGTGATTTCATTTCTATTTGCACCATGAACGAATAAACACACTATCTAAAATTGTTCTTGTTTCATGTACCTCACTGCACAACCAACCTAATATGATATGGCGATCCAACCCACTGAAACCTGTGAACTTCGTGTACTTCGCTAACTACTACTGCAACAATTGAATACTGCCACATGATTTGAAGATTCCAACTCAAACCACGACATCATCGAAGCTGCCTGCCTTCACGTCGTTATACTTCATCATCACTGATTCTTCAGAATGGATCCGACGTATTACACTATAGAAGGAACGTTACACACAAAAGGACCCAAAATAAGAAGGGTTTCAATACTATCCCTTCCGTCTTGTTGTCGTCGTAAGAACCTAATTTGGGAGTACACAGTTCACGGTACGTAAATGATTGATGATTGCGTAATTTTGATACTCGCGGTAGCATAGAAGTTTGAGTTTATTTGTTAATGGAGATCTAACCTGGTGTTCCAGTCAGTGTATCCTTGTTCAAGGAGTCCATTATGGCCATGCCAACTGTTGAGGGAATATTTTTTCTTATCGTCTCGTAGCTCAATTTCAGCCGATTCATTTCTTTCAGCGTAGAACTGTAAGAAGTGTTAAATTATTCTAACAATAATCATCATCGGTCCACCTTCAGTTGTAAGTAACATATCTTGTTGTTGAAATCTCATTGATTGAAGCTTAAAACCTATATCACAAAATTATTGACCATCAAATATCAGTTGCATATCAAATAATTTTCATTCAAACAATGATTGTTTTTTGTACACTTAATCTAATTTTATTTACTTACCCGATCTAAAATTCCAATCTTCTTAAAGTCAATCCACCCGGGTAACAAGGTATTGGCAAGTTTTACCAAAGGGTCGTTATATCCCCACAGCAGCTCTTCCACGGTCATACTTTTGAACAGTTTGGATCCCAAAGCAGTGATGGAGTAGTAGGCGCCCGCGTTGGCTAAATAGCCGGCTTTGTCTGCCAAAACCGTACTGATGGCCTAGGGACAACAGATACATTATTTGATACTGATAGGTAATTTGTAGCAGCAGAAAGCAACCAGTCAGTAACGGGTTAAATTTTTATTAGGCACTCAGAATGTTCAGTCTCTACTGAGAAAAACATCTTACAATTTTACTTATTCTTATGTATAAATAATTAATGTTCAATTTTCCCCTTAATGCTTATTATAGTCAATGTTAACTTACAAATAAATGGACGACGGGTCTAATACAAAAACCACGAAATAAATGTCCCAAGTCAACCTATTTAAACGTAGTGACATGTAAAGGAATATGAAAAAGCTAAAACGTTGATTTAAATTGTAATATCATCGAAGTACTGTCTAATTTAGCTTGCTTCGCTGTAAGTCAAACAAACGAAGACTAAAGCGTGAATGACGCTCTGTATACGATTTTAACGCCCTATAAGTTCGGACACTTTTTAGCGCGGACCCGACGTCCATATAATTGTAAGTCAATGCTTATTAATGATGTTCAAATTATGTCTTTGCTTTTTATGGGTTTGGTACCTTAAGCAAAGTCTTTTATTTAATACTCGATCTGTTATATATTGTTATATTCTATATATATAATAAACATGTTTGTCTGTAGTAGATGAATAATAATGGGACTCAACTGATTATTGTTAGAGATGAGCTAAATTTTTATAGTGCGCTATTTTAAGTGCTAAAATTATAATTTTTAGCAGTTCAAGGCCGTATGATAATGTAACGAATGGAAAGAAACGTGAAATAGTTGACGTGCGCTAACTTGTTAAGTATAGCATCTATGGTCTATCTATAGAATAGTTTACCGTTTTTTATGGTTAGTTACGACCGACTTCATTTGTTTTGTAACTATTACATAATATGGTGGTTACAGATTATAGACGATAAAGCAATGAGCTTCCCTTCATACTTTAATAATTTACTATTTATAATTTGCACAAAACTTTACACTGGTTATTTACAGTAAATTACACTCATAATAATTAATAATAATATTACAACGACTTATTAATTAAACAAACGCTAAACTAATTAAATAAATCCAAGTACTTAATTATATCTTATTATGAATCGCTTCACCAGACGAAATTTTGCTAACGTTCGATCATTAGCTCCAAATCGTATTAAAACGTAACCAAAATTATAATTTATAACATAACTACAATTATAATACTTGCTAAGTGCTAAATATAGCATTAGCGCTTAGCGTACTCAAACATGAAATTTAACATCAATAAACCAATCAGCTATTTCGCGTTTCGCACCACACGTTAAATGCTACAAATAATATGTTAAAGTATTTCACGTTATAATTGTTTCAACCAATGACAAGAGCCGCAATTTTCACATAGACTATAGTGCTATCTATGAAATATTAAGAGAGAGCATGCCAAAAAAGTTTTGACGTTGGCTCCGCCCAAATTTGTGAAACAAATATATGCCTGAAGTTCGCGTGACATGCGACAGAGATGTTGAATTTTACGCATTAAAAGCACCAAATTCGTTTCAGCGGAATAACTCTAAAACTAAAGGGATTAAAAAAAAATCCGTAGTGACAGTTGTCGATCATGCATAAATATAATTATTTATCTAATTTTTGCCCTAATAACCTGTAGCATTTCGAGGACAAATTGAAAAAATGTGAAAATTAGAGATCATTTCGTGATTTTTATCTATCGAGGAAACTTTATTGTTTTATGTTTCTGATTAATGTCTATGCTTGAATATATCGTGTAGTTACTCATACAATATTTTATTTTTAACTTTAAAGTGGATATACCCCTCTAAAATCAAATCGAAGATTAGGAATTTTTCCTCTGCTCCCTCTTAAGGGAGATAACTCAGGACGAAGGATTTTGTTTGTTAGCTGCGTAAGTAAAGCACGGAGAGATTGATGGTATGGCATTGAAATATTGTAAAATAATGTCGCTAGATGGCATTTGGTTTAATTTCCTTAACGTATTCCAATCCAAAGTGAAAAAATGTTCGTTATAATTTTAGCACCTTTATGTCTTTCAAATTATAATTGCTATAATTATTTTTTAATTTAACGTTATAACTTGAGCTATTTATTATATTAGCCATCTCTAATTATTGTTCATCCGATTGCGATACTATCGTGAGTTGCTGTGCCCACAAAACCCCAAATGTTTCTAAGGTATCAGGTCCCACTAGAGGATCTCCTTTAAGAAGAAAGTTGACACTATCTTTTGCAAAGCTATATTCTTTTGGTGGTACTTAACTTAACCTACTATATATCGGGTCTTTCAACAAGAACTTTGTTTTCTAAAACAAAATA